AAAATGGGAACAATGCCATCTGCCCTATAGTATGGAGATGGAATGTAGTGTGCCTAGCATTTTTGCAACATTTGGTTTCTAGGATTATTTCAAAATAAAAAGTTAAAAATGCATATGATTTAGGAAACCAAATAGCCAATCCTGTTAGGTTGATAGTTAAATGGAGATAGTGCTCTGAAGGCCTTATTTGTAATCATATTAAAATAATAATACTCTAAGTTTTAAGAAAAAAATCAATTACTTCGTGCTAGTGATCTCAACTACTCCATGAATGAGAAAGCCCTTACAGGTCACCTAAGGCCACATAAGGTTCAGGCCACTTCCTTGCCTCACACAGGGCACTCCTGATGCTCATGATGGCAATGACAGCTGGGGGAGGGACTGCTGGGTACAATGTCTCAAGTCCCTAAACTGGGAGGTATGGAGGCCAGAGGGAAGGGTAAAGGCAGAACTTAGTGGAGACTGGCTGTGACAATTCCTCCCTGGCCAAGGAAAGACCCGGGACATGGCAAGAACAGCACCTACCATGTGTCTAGCCCATGACAGACGTGTGAAAGAAGTAGACAAGGGCCTTGTCTCAAAGGGAGGCCACAAAGGTCAGCCAGAGAGCTAGGTGTCACATAACACAGGTTTGGAGGCCAGGTCCGGAGGGGTCCCTTCCATCTCTGGCATCCACTGTCACTCCCAAGGTGGGCACATCCTGGAGTCACTCTTCCTACCACAAAACCCACATGAGTTTTCCCCCTGAGTAAGCCTTGCTGGAGAACTGCCTGCCCCACGTGGGCACCCTAACTCTCCTTGGCCTTCCCATGGGCACTGCAGACTGGAAATTCCAATACAGTCTTCAGCCAATCAGAAAAGCAGTTCTAGCACTGGTGAAAATAATTGAGTGTCCTTCCAAAAGAAGTCCCCCTACAACTCTTATGTCAGATCTGATTGACATGAAAATGTCAATAATTGGACTGGCCCCTGGACCCCCTGTAGGCCCCAAGCCCTACCTCTACCAGTGTCACTGCACAACACCCAAGAGCTAATGGGCCTCATCATGTCTTTGTCCAGGTGGCTCAGAACAGAGCAGTTGGACTGAGACTCCAAACACCTACAGACCCCTCCCAGGAAGCAGAAATGCTCATCACATCCCAGCACCTCTATAGCCCAAACTGAGACCCTCTGGGAAATAATGCATGCTCTGTTTCCTCTGCTTGGATTTTCCATCCCCTGAAATTCCAGCTGAGGCAAAGGGCTGACAGAGCTGTCCCCAGGGCTTCCTGCTAAGCTTCCCTAGGGTGACAAGAGAGTTTGCATTTGCTGGGGTTCTGCTGAGTCCCTACTGCCAGAGGTGAGCCTAGGGGAATTGGCAGGTGACCTCAGACACCATCCCCCAAGGCAGGGAGGTGGAAACAGAGCCTCAAAGGGGTATCAGGTGACACAGCAGAGGCTGAGAGATTACCAGAGAGTGTCACTGCTCAAGTCACACAGCTGCCTCGTTTCTCAGAGGTGTATCCTCAGTCATTGGGAGCCACTGTTCCTATACTTCATATCCTCCAGGGCAGACAAGGGATGAACAATATGTCCTTCAGATGGGTCAACTCTATGCCCTGGCCCCCAGTGGGATCAGAAGGAGTCTGGACTTAGCTGCCCCTACCTCTCTGCCTCACTTCTTTCCCTGCTCTGTCCTGCTTGCCTCCCTGCTGTGGGAAACTCACAGGCGAGAGCACACTCTCCAAAATCACTTGCAGATCCATGTTCCTCACTGACCTTCACTTATATCCTCTCCTCTGAGGACTCCCTTTGATATAGCAGGTGGGGTAGGGTGGGAATCCTCATGGTTCCAGCCTGGTTCTGATTGTGTTGGGCTCTTTTGCCCCCATCCTTTCCCTTCACATTCAAAGTGAGGAGTGAGTACAGTAGGAAGGGGGTAAGGTGGATTCCCGTGAGCAGGAGGAAGTCCCGGGACCTGGGATGGGGCTTGGGAGCTCTGGGATGGGTTCCAAATGGCCAGCAATGGCATTCTGAAGTCCTGGAGAGTGAAAAAGCAAAGGACAGGAGTTTAAGGGAGAACATTAGTGTGGGAGGGCTGAGAGGGAGCCAAGCCAGGATGAGGGAGACTTTTCTTTTGGAGATGGGGAGTCAACCTCACTCCCCTTGACAATACCTCCACTATTCACAGTCACCTGTATTTGGGGGCTGGAAGGTGTTCCATGCTTGACTTTTCTCAGCAGGTGGGATGAGGTGGGGGCAGGTGACTTTACCAACAGCTGCCATTTGTTGAGCGTTGACTATGGGACTGTGCCAAGTGCTTCACGTGAATTCTCTTAATCCATACTCCAGTCCTTTAGAGCAAACTGAACTTTGAATAGAGCCTGAGTCTCACAGCAGCCATTGGGTTATTGTCCCTCCAGGCAGCCTGCGTGGAAAGAGCCTTGGTCCCAATGTCAGGCCTAAGAGTTCTGGTGTTGGCTATGCCTCCTGGCTTCATGCTTTGTGCAAGTCTATTAGCATCCCTTGGCCTCGATTTCCTGGCAAAATGGGACAGTAACCTTACTGGGAGGATCAAATAAGATTATACATGACTGTGTGGTATGAAACACCAGGTGTGTGAGGCATTGGTAATAAGGGCCGGCATTCATTTGGCACCTACTGGGGTCAGCCATAGTTCTAAGCACTTGAGATGCATTGATTCATTTCATCTTATACAACAGTCTCACAAAGTAGATATTGGTATCATCCCCATTTCTCAAATGAGGAAACTAAGGCACAGAGAGTTTAATACAACAAGTAACTGCCAGAGCCAGAGGTCCAGGGCTGACCATAGGCGGCCTGACCCCTGAGACATGGGACTGGGTGGCAGCTGTACAAAGCTCTGTCCTTCACCCCACGCTCCAACCCCACTAGCCTCCAGGGGTCAGATCCTGGGAACCCCTTTCAGGGAGGCCTTTGCTGACCTCCTCAGCTCACAGTGAGTTCTCTGAGCTCCAGTCCTTTCACACTCACAATTGCATGATGGGAGGAGGCCACATCCTGCATTATATGGTTCTCTGATTATGGAGATGGTCTTATCTTGCACCGTATTGAGGATTCCTTAGATGAAGATCTCCCCTTACTGGCCAGGCCAGCCCTGCCCCTCCTAAAGAGCTCACTGGCTGACAGCAAGGAGCTCTTCCCCTTGGGGCTACTGCCAAGAAAGAAGTGGAAGAAACAGCCCATTTTTGAGCAAAAGGGTAGCCTTCATGGCCCAAGGCCAGGCTCACCACTACACTGCAACAGGGAACCACCCTGTCCTCCTGTTACCTCTAGGACACTTATGCCCACAGCACCCCAGCTGGGCTCCCACTTCCAGGTGAACAGAGCATGCAGACTGTGCTGGAGGAGCATCTAAAGTTGTTGTGGACCTAGATGTTGGCTATTCCAAATTCCCTTGGGATTCAGTATGAAGCCAAATGAAGCAAGAAAGTCAGCCTATAGCAACTTGGAGGCTAGGAACAGAGAAGCCATATTCTGCCTCTGTGGAAGGAGGAGGCCAGGGGTTGTTAGGGTCTGTAAACAAGTCAAGATGGCGCCTGGCATTTTGCCAGAGGGAGTGGTTTGTGAAGTAACGCCAGCAAGCCATTAAGTGTGGAGATTCCTTATTGGTTGACTGCTGTATCTAGTTTATGTTAATTAAGATAAGCTGTGTGGAATGTATATATACCCCTCCTGTCCTACAATAAACGGCTCCCACTCCTGCTGTATCAATGTACACAAGTTGCTGGCAGTTCCCACCCCCCGGTTATTTTGCTGCAGCCGGACTGCGGCAAGGGGTGAGATCCCTACATGCTTATTTCTGGTCTTCAGAAACTATGGGGTTTAGGTGTTCCTCCTTTATAGCTAATTCTCTCCAGCTCTAGCACAAGTCTCTGAGGACAGGCAGTGGTACGTGCTCTGGCCTTTTGATGCTTTGGAAGATGGGGGTGAGTAAGGACATCCTTCACAGGGGGGCCACTCTGTGGCCCCCAAGTCTGTTTTCAAGTCAACAAGTAGGTACTGACTGTGGGCTGGGAATATGTCTAGGGCTAAGGATTGTCCTGGTGGCTGGCTTAGTGGGGGGGTCCATGGCCAGCATTAACCCAAAGGGAGGGAAGCTTCCCAGGAAACCCAAGCCCAGTGGCCTGGGGACAGGTAGAAGCCCAGGGGAGCCATAAGGCAGTATTATCCACTAGTTTTAATGCAGAGACCAGGTGTGGGATAAGGGACCTGAGTTCACGCCTCTGTTCTGCCACCGCAATGGGCAGTTACTTAACCCCTCTGAACCCTCAAATCTTCCTCTCTTTGGGGAAATGATAATTCCCACCTTGGTGGGAAGATCTGTACATGAAAACAAATAGAGAAGCACTCTGTAATCACGCTGCAGGTCTGCACAAACCTAAGGCATCGTAGTAATAGCAGGCCAGGCAAACCTGAGGCGTCTTCCTCTAAATTACATGACATAATCAGTTGTCTGAAACAGTCCAAATTGATGTTGTGGTTAATGTCCTGGCCTTTATGGCCAGACAAGAGTTGGGTTCAAATCCTGTCTCTGCCAGACTAGAGGGATGTCACATGAGTGTGTAATGACTTGTGAGGCCTTCCAGAGCTCAGATCTGAGGAGTGTGCTCAGTTTGAGGTGACTTACAACTGGAATGGGAGGCAGTAAGAACAGTTCTGCCTACAGTTCCTCTTCCTTTCCTAGAACCTGGCCTCTCGGTGCCTGTTATGAAAAGGAAGCTAAACTCCAAGAGCCTGAGAAACTCCTCAGAGGCTACAAGCCGGAGGTCAGCAGACATAGGACTAGAAGGCTGGAGAAGCCACTTGGAAGACAGTGGCCTTCAAAATCAGGGGCTTCCAGATTCCCTGGGGATGAATAAAGTGCAGATTTATAGGCCAAACCCACATGGTTTTTCTGGCTTAGCAGCTGACCTCTCGACCTATAAGTGCCCTTCTCAAAGTCACCTTCAGCCCCTTGGGGGGCCACCTGAGCTTACCTGGGAGGAAGGGTATGATCCTTTGCTTGGGGTCCTTCTGGCCACCTTCTATGGGGAATTTATCCAGAAGCTGCATCTAAGGAAGCAGACAGACAGAGAGACAGAATTCAGAAGACTAGACTGCCCTCAGCGCCCCTTCCCCACCCCACCCCACTCCACTGCCCACGGCGCTCACACGGATGAGTGACGCCTGAAATCCCTCATTTCACAGACGATTAACAAACCACATGGGGCATGAGAGGGATGAGGCCAGGGCTCTCCATGCATCAAAGAGGGTGTCTGAATAGTCTCGGGAAGGGGGAGGTGTCTGGAGACTCCCAAAGTAGTGAGGCTGGGCCAGGGACCAGCAGGCCTTCAGGCCAGACTGGGGTTGCCAGATGCTTCTTTGGGCTCAGTTCTTTCTTTCTACATCTGCGGGTGAATCCTTTAGCCACCGGCCATCCCAAACTCTCCTGGGCCAGGATGGAGGAAGGCCCCACCTGGTACTTCAGACAGACCACCCACCTTCTAGAACTGCTCTGCAGAAACAGACCCAGATGTTATTTTAATTGCAAAACTAAATCTATCTCATTGTCCCCACTGCTGGAAGACCCCTTCCTCTGCTTCGTCCCCTCCTACCCTGAGATTGCTACTGTTTTTCTAGGGACATACCCACTGGAAGAGTTTCCAGGAGAAACACTGTTTTTTTCTTTAGCTATTCTGGGCTGAAATTCTGTGTAAACTGGAAAAACACACAGGAGGCAGGGCTCCTGTGTGTGCAGTTGATCTCAGTTCTAAGGCACAGGCGGGAAATGCAGCAAAGGGGCTCCAGCCAGAATCTAGTCTTGCTGCCCCAGCTGTGTGACCCTAAGCAAGGCAGGGAACCTTCCTTCCTCAGCTGAGCCCTGGGTACCATCCTTGGTAGAATGAGAGGATCAGTCACATGGTATCTAAAGTCCATTCATTCTTCTATTCCTTCAAATCTTTACTGAGCCCATATTTAGAGTACTAGGCACCAAAGAAAGAAGCTAGGGGCCAGGGATGTAGCTCGGTGGCAGAATGCTGGCCAAGCACAGATGAGGACCTGGGTGGCATCCCCAGTACTGCAAAAAGAAAAGAGCCGAAGTTTGCCCACAGGGAGTTTACATTCTAGTGGAAAAGGACAAATGAAAAGGAAATAGGTCATGTCAGGAGAGATACATGCAATGAAAAATGTGAAGTAGGGTAAGGCACTGGAGCAAGATCAGGGTTGTTACTTCATCTGCAGTGGTGAGGAAGTCCTTATGAATCCAGAAGCAATTCAGCAGAGACCCACAGGAGCAGAGGAAGCAAGCCACTCTGGAGGGGGAGGATGTTTCAGGAAAGAAGAACAGGAAGGCAAAGAGCCGGAAAACACCAATGTGGCTAGTGTGGCGTGACCAGGGCAGAGGGACAAGCAATGAGAGGCAGGATGGGCTAGAATGTAGAAGGCCTTGCAGGCTATGAAGACTCAAGAGTTCATCCTGATGCAAGGGGAAGTTCTGAAGTTTTTGTGCAGAAGAGAGACACGAGCTGATCCATGTTTTGAAAAGGTAGCTCCAGCCCCAGTGTAGAGAACAGGCCAGCGGATGGAAGCCAGAAGACCAATTAGGAGCCTACTGACACCAGCGAAGACACCACTTCAAGGTGTTAGCACTGCAGGTGAAGGAGGTCCTAGGCTAGGTTGTATGTGTGTGCACCTCTGTCCATCTGTCCATTTATGTATCCAGCTCTATACAAGATTTCAGGATTTTCTCTTGCACAATCATTACGTGATATGCATAAAGCCCTTGTATGAAAGGGGGTGGGAGAATTGGTGGATTCCATTCAAAACAAGACAGAGACTGCACCATGATTAACTTTCACTTCCCTGAATACAGATGGCTATTTAGCAAAAGCAAGCTCATGAGTTTTTCATGTTGTAACTTCAAATCTCAAACATTTAATAATCTCCTGCTACATGTAAATATAGCCATTGGGCTATAACTGGTATACACTGTACTTAGTTTTTTTTCCCTTAATTAATACATTTTCAAACAAATTCTGCTAACTAGAACTCCAATTTTCTCTTTCCTGTTTGCCTTGCTCATATTCTATTTTTATACATTTCATTTCTGTATTACATAAGAAATTCATGCTCACTGAGAGAAAAAAACTAGAAATTACAGAAGCAGCGGGTGGTCAAAAAAAGGAAAGAGAATCACTTATAATCTCTCTCCCTGAAAAGGCAGCATTAATATCGAGGGCTACGTATATTCTTTCCAGGCATTCTTCCATGCATGTAATTTATGAAATGAACACGTCGATGCTTTTACATTACACAATGAACATTTTTTCCATGTCAATGTACATTTCCATATCAGCATTCTCAATCATGACATGGAATTTCAGTGTTTTCATTGTTTATTTACCTACTCCCCTACTGTTGGATATTTAGGTTGTTTCCGACTTTCCGCTAACTGTATACAACATTAGATTGAACAACTTGTCCGTGGATCTCTGCACACTTCCTTTAGACCAACATATTTTTTTGAAAAAAATTTTTTTTGTTTTATCTTGTATTCTATGCATATTTTATAAGTGCCTTAAATGTTTTCCAGACCACTGAGAATAAATAGATGGATAACTATTATGCGTGGGTCAGGCCTGAGGCCTTCAAGCAGCAGTTCCATAAGGTCTCTGAGGAGGAGGCAGAGACATCTGAGGAGTAATGTAGGCCCAGGGGCATGCCCAGGTATGAAGTGATCTGTCCTTACCTGTACCACTTCTCTCCCCAAACAGGGTGACCAGCTGCACCACAACAAGCTGTGGAACCTTGCCCAAGTGGCTGTCTCTCTCCAGAGCTTACAGTATAGAAACTTAAACTTAAATTTCCCTCCAGTTCTGCTATATACATTTTCTATGACTCCTACGTTTTGCTTTCAGACTCACATTGTCACTAACTGAGAATGTGGTGCTGAAAGGAGTGGGCGGGGCAGGTGACATTCACAAATCACGTCTTTCCTCCCCAAACACTGACATATACTGACATATGCCTTGTAGGTGCCAGGCCCTCTGTTAGAAATAAGTCCAATCCCAGTGCTGGCATCAAGGGGCTCCTGCAGCCCAGGGCTGTGGGACATGCATGCAAAGTGCTGGCAGCAGTGAGAAGGCTGGTTCTGTGGGCCTGGGCAGGGCCCTGGGCCTCGTTTCTCGCCAGCTTGCAGGTGCTGTTGAAGCTGCTGGTCTGTGGGCCACACTCTTAGCAGGAAAGCTCTACAGTACTACTGTCCACATGGCAGCCCCTGGCCACATGTGGCACTGAGCACTTAGAACGAGACTGGTCCAAAATGAGATGTTTTGCATGTGTCAACTGTACACTGGATTTCCAAGGCTTAGCATGGAAAAAATGTGAAATGTGAAAGAATTCTGTGCTGATTGCATGATGATATTTTAGATCAGGATATCAATAAAATTATTTAAATAATTCTTTTCACCTATTTCCTTTCTATATCTTTAAGCAGCTACTAGAAATTTTTAAATTACATACGTGGCTCTTTCTGTTGGACAGTGCTGCTCTAGAGCGTGATGGCTCTCGGAATGTGTGGTGAGGTCTCTGCTCATCTGATTTGCATGGGGGCCCGTTGGTTAAAAATGCAAGTTCCTGGGCCCCACCTGGAAGCATGTGAAACTTTGATCTGGTGCTAGAGACAGACGAGGAAAGTCCAGAGTGATGGAGAATGGAAAGGATATAGAATAGGAGCCCATGGGAGCTGAAGGGAGAGGTCAGGAGAGGCTTCCTGGAGGAGGCAAGTCAGCTCTGTCTTAGACAAGTGACAGTCACAACCTGTGTCTTCCTAGTCAAAGGGCAGTCTGAATTCCCTCACTGGGTTCCTGTGCCTCCTGGAAGGAAGGGTCATGTGACAGCCTGGCAAATAAGTAGGCAGATTCGATTTTCCTCCACAAGGCCTCCTGAGGGGTGCTTTGCAGCAGCCTCTCACCTACCTTTTCTTTCAACGGCAGATTTTCCTCGTCCTGCACCTCTGGTTCCATCTAGCCCTCCCCTCCCCTCCTACTCCCAGGCCAACATAAGCCCATCCACTGAGACTCCTGGATCAACCAGTCCACTCCAGGGCTGTGAGCCCCTAGCTGGCCTGCTTCCTACCTCTAGTCCTCAGGAGCCCAGTCCAGCCCTGTCACCTATTCCTACCATCATGGCTAAGCCAGCAGGACCTTGGTGTTGGCCCTCCCCATCAGTCTTCCCTAGAGCCCACTGGCCATGGGAGAAGGAAGTCCAGCTAACCAGCTGCCAGTGACAGTTTCTCTGCCCACAGGTCACCTTTCAAAGAAAGCAAATTCCCTGGCTCTGATTCCACAACAAATCAAATAAAAGCACCCAGCCAAGTTGCTTCTGTTTAGCCACAGCAGAGCTGCACCATGCAGCCTCTTGGCCCACAAGATGGTGGATGGTGGGCAGTGGGACCGTGCTTGACACACAATGCAAATGTTGCCCCTTCTGGGTGACCAGGAAGACAGCACAGTGGGTTCTTTGACCTGGTCAGTGGCTGATGTGCAGGGTTAGGTTCCACAGATAAAACAACTGCATGAAAGACTGAGTTGAGGGGGCTGTCTGCTGGAGGCCCCCGACTAGGCCTTCCAACTGGGCCTTCCGTGAGGAAGCCTGGGTGCGTGGGCAGTGAGGAAGGAAGACTCCGCCCAGCAGGGAGCTCTGCGGCCACCTTTTCAGGCAGGAAGTGGAGTCTCCCAGCAAGGCCCTTACTCAGGCTGGAAGAAAAACAGATCCCATTGCCAGGATCCTTTTTGGAGTGAGGCGTCCGGCTAATGGAGCCCCTTGCAACTTCTCAGAGTGGGGAGGAGGCGGGCTGTTTACCTAAGGGGTGGATGGTGTGAGAGATACAGGACAGTGCGGCTCCAGGAGCTGGTTCCAGCCAGAGAAAGCTGATTCGGCAGCTCTCCTCGGCAGGGCTCTACAGCAATAAACACCAGGAGAGGAGGGTGGGCCCTGGCCCAGCTGAGGCACATCTGTAACCCAAGAGGCCCACTCCTAGCCTGCAGAGAGGGTGGAGTTCCCAGAGACGT